ATTCTACTTATAAATTTATGTTGTTTGAGCGGTAAATAAATGTAAATAGTATTCTACTTGTAAACTTTTGTCCTATGAATAGTACGGTTGTTGTCCTTAAACAATTAAAGAGTTTGGGGATCCAAAGGTCATGAGATCAAATCCTTCATTAACAACCTAAATCAATTATTTCTCAAATAAAATGTTGACGGCACCGGAGTTTCAGTGACCTGCTGTTAGTGATCCTGTTGGCAGTAGGGGTTCTAGTGACCCTGCCACCGGTGGTAGTCCAACGGCCAGCTTCGGCGACAGTGAGGGTGTCTTTTCTTTTCTTTTTTTTTTGTGTTTTTTTTAACTAGAGGGATAGTTTGGACTTTTGACTTTAAAAATTAATATTAGTCAAAGACCAAGGGACCGTAGTGTAATTTTAAAGTCAATTGGTCTTTGATTGATATTAATTTTCCTTAACGATCCTTAGATGCTATTTTTCTTAAAAATTTACCCAAACTTCTTTTGTTTCGAATATGCATGGATTTTTAAGGGCAATTAATCTCCCCACCCTCCCCTAAAAATATCTATCATGTTATATTGTGAAATACCCAAACTTATTATTAAGAATAGTATGATATTGTCGTTATTATATCTCTTTTCATTCTTATAATTCATCCATTTCCAATCACACATCTTTGTTAATATTTATTATCCATTCCATCATTCCAAAACATGCCAATCTAAAATAATAATAAGGATTAACGGGGTTAGATCTAGTTGCAGAAGCTAATTTCTTATAACATGACAAACTAAAGTTTGAATTTATATTGGGAGAAGTGCTAATGTTTAGTGTTTGACAGTATCTTAAACATGATTGCCTCCAATAATAAATGGATACTTGTGGATAAAAAAAAGTAATAATTAATAATCCATGTGAAGTATGTGGTTATTTTTTTACTATCAGCCTATAATCGATATCTTATTATCAAGGGTAGTATGATAAACTGCTATTTTTTTTTTTTTCGTTTCCATCATATTTCTATTATGTCAGTATAGTAACACAGTTATTTCTATCATGCCAATATTTTTGGATAACCAATAAAATTTCTCATAGGGCCCCATTGTAAAGACTGTAAAGTAATGTGCACCATGTTAGACTTCTTTGAGGCTTTACACGTTAACAAAATGAAAAAACACATTCTTTACCTTTTATAATTTCGTCAGTTTTTATTTTTAGTTTTTATAATTTTTTCTCTTGTTTTCAATCTTTATAGTTTCAAAAAGATTACATAATTTTTATTTTTGATGTCCCTATAATTTTTATTTTTTATTAGTTTTAATTCTTATGGAGACTGAAAACATTAAATAAATTATAGAGATTAAAAGTAAAACTTGATAAGATTATGGGGATCAAAAATTATGTTTTTTTTAAAAGATAGAAAAGTAGGCTTCTTTTGACCAGGACTTTATATTTGAATTTTCATTCAATAAACAATTTTCACAGCGTATCAGCTCACACCGTTTTGTCGACGCTCCTGCTTTGCTATTTCTCAAGATTTGAGCATTAAAAAAAAGGTAGCGAAATAGTAAATTAAGGGCCTGTTTGTGTTCTGTTTTTAAAAACTATTTTTCGTTTTTAAAAATAAAAAAATTAAAAAATTTGCTTGGATAAGTGTTTTTCATTTAGTTGTTTTCAAAACTGTTTTCATTTTTTTGTTTTTAAAAACAAAAAAATAGAAACAACTTTAAGTTGTTTTCATTTTATTTTTCTTGTTTTTAAAATACATTACATTTGATAATTAAAAATTATAATTACCTTGACTATTTTCTATTATTAATCACCATCATTAACTGCCTATAATTATCATCATCAGTCCATTTTTTAATTCTAAAACTGTTTTTAAATTACATAACCAAATGGATTTTTATTTTATTTTTGTTTTAAAAACAATTTTGAAAACTATATTATAAAACAGTTTTTAAAAACAAAAAATGAGAATAAAAACCAAACAAGCCCTAAATAAACGTATGAAATTCAGTGATTTGATTTTGTTTCCCCAAATATTCAATGATTTCATATAAATGGTACAGTGGACTGGAATGCGGGAAAAGAGAGAAGAGAGAATATGAAGGAATATATATATATATATATATATATATATAAAGAGAACACCATGTAGAGACAAATTCAACTAGTAATTCTTTATTCAATTGCAAAAGGTTAAACAAAGACATATTAAGGCATATTTATAAGCATTAATTAGCTCTAATTTTAAAATCAAATTAATGTAAAATTTTTAAAATATAAAAATTAGCTACTTTAATTAGATTGTTTTTTATAGTTAAACTTTGAAGTGAGGATTGGAACATGAGGAGGAGGAAGAGGAGAAGAAAAGAAAGAGAAAATGAGGAGGAGGAGGAGGCGAAGCTGCATGAATGTAACATGCTAGCAAATTAATAATCAACTCGGTTAAGATATTAAACTAAATTAAAAAACTTTGAGGTGACACTGTTAAAAAAATTAAGAATATGAGATCTGCTTTCTTGGAGACTTCAAAATTGTACCTTCATTCCTTTTTTCTTTTTACCTTAAAAAAGGTGATGCTTCCCAATAATGTTTGTGTGAGATGAAAGTAGAGTCATTAATTAAAGCTAAATTTGTAGGGCCAACCCTTTTAAATTTAAAAAATTAAAGAATGAGTCGTTACTTTGATTTTTTAAAAAGGTAAATCGGGCTAAAAGGACCAGCTTTCTATTAAGCCCTAATATATTTTTTTTGAAAAAAACAACATAAAAAATAAATAAAAAGAAGACACCACATCACTCAAGCTCAGCACTCACTCTCTAATCCAGACAGTAAACACACATTATTATTTGCTTACTTTGAATATTTTTGCATTCTTTAAATACCTCGAAATTATGATTTTGATTTATTATTTATTGCAAATAATGAGGATAAGAAGGAAGATATGAAAAGTTTAACATATTTGCTATAGATGAGGATCCATAAGGAGAAGGATCAAATCATATTAATGTTAATAATGATAAAAATCATCAAAATTTAGCTAATGATGCTATCAATGTGTAATTGATGTTGGAGTTAATTTTGGAATGTTATTTTTTTATTAGACTTAAATTTTTTGTTATGTGAATTAATTTTATTTTATTTTTTAGACTTAATGTGATGTGTAATAACTTTATTAGGATTTTAAATACATTTTTTTAAATTTTTAAATTGAAAAATTAAAAAAATAATTAGGGTCGAGGCCCTAAGGGCCGGTCCTTCAGCCTTAAGGACTAGGGCCAGACTACTAAAAATATAATCCTTAAATATAATCAGACTTAAAAAGATTAACCCATTTAGACCCTAACCATTGAAGGGTCAGTTTTTTAAGGCCAAGCTTACCCTAATTGGTGCCTTAAGGTGAAAGTGCTTCATCACTTTACACGTAAAAAAGCCACATAATTGCGTTGGTGCATCCAGTTGGTTCCAATGATTGGTGAGTAGAGCCTTCTTATTTTTTGAAAAGCCAAGTGATTATTAAAAATTCAAAATTCATGTTAGTGATAATTATTAACTTAAGATTTATAAAATTTAATGATTACATTTGTCATAAAATTTTAGAGAAAATTATTTTTAAGGACCAAATTTAAAATTATTTATTCCTAGTGATTAATACTCATAATTCTACTTATAAATTTAAAGTTTTAGATTAATAAAGTATGTTTCTTCTGTCAACCTTTGATTTCTATCCTTCAATCAAATACTTCCAATTAATTTCAGTCCTACCAATTAATTTTTATGGGTCATATTACACCGTTTCTAAAAATTGAAGGAACAATCTACACAATAAACAAGTTCAATGTTTATGATATTGAATTTAAAGTTTAAATGATAATTTTCTCATTTATCTTATACTTAATAGGGACAAATTAAAAAAGTTATTAAATTTTTAGAGTGTTAACAAATTTTAAAATATTTTTTAATTTTGATGAAACATGTTGAAGTGACTAATAAACATATCAGCATAGGAGTATTTTGAGAACCAAGTTTTAAGTGAATTGTAACTACAAAGATTAAAAGATTAATTTTTTAAAAATTATTTTGTCTCCAATCAATGACTTCATAGACGTACTTGATCCTAATATGATGGGTCTTGGTCTTCACGTTTACATTAAAATAGAGGCATCAATACCTGGACAAGGGACCACTAGTTCCCTTGTCATTAAGAATTTGAAATGTGTTTCAATAATACCTTTTACAAATCCCCTGTCTTTAAGAATTTGAAAAAAAGAGAGAGGACCAGTTTCTTATAATCAAGAGACTTTGCAAACAATAATAAAAATCAATAGTGGGTACTTACAGGATTTAAGACTTCTTTATGTAACAAAAATGTAAGGAAAAATAACAATTAAGTCTTAAAAAGAGATAATTAACGATAATTAAGTTTTCAATAAAATCTTCTAAAAATAAATTACAAATATTGGTTTAAAGAATTGTAATTAAATTCAGACACTCTAAATGCGAGTCTAGTGTGAAGTTGAAAATTTTATTTGCAACTGTTTAAATTAATATTTATAACTCCTTTTTAAAAAAAATCAAAAACTTAACTATCATTAATTTTCAGTTTGAGAATTTTCTTGTCACTCCCAAAATGAAAAGGGAAAATTAAAAGAACATACACAATTGGCCAACATAAAACCAGGATGGAAAATATTTATTCAAATGAATAATATAAAAAGAAGTAGTTAATTAAATATAAAAAGGGTAAAATAGTAAATTAAGAATACACTTCAATTTAACAAACGAAAGGCAGGGCATTTCGTTGAAGCTTCCATGTGAAGCCTACCTCTCATGCTGTAAACTAGTCTCCATGGGTCCTTCCTGTCATCTTCCTACCAAACTTCTTCATAGTTTCCTTTAGGGTTTCTTATACTTGCTTCTCAGAAATTTCTCACAAGTTACGTATATGTAGGTTTGCAACAAATTGAATATGGTAAGGACCAACATTCATTTTAAGAGTCGTCCCATTGCATCAATCTCTTGTTGTTGGTTTTATTTGGGTTGGAGCAAACAAAGTTCTTCATAATGCCGACGACACCTTCCCTCTCCGAATGAGTTGACGTCGCCTGACCTCTCCTAATTCAACATAGCTGTATCATTCTGGTAATTTCTTCAACTTTCTCACCAAATTACTATCTTTGTAATTTTAAATTCTGGAGCTTTAATATATAGCTTATGGGTTCTAGCAGATTATTAATTTTTAGATGGTTAAAATGTATATAACCCCCTCAACTTAAGGTTAATTGTATATAACCTCCCTTGTCTCACCCCCTTACCATATAGATTTTGTGTATTTAAGTAATATAATGTCCAAAATTCCATCTTATTTACCAAATACTCTTGATTAGGTTAATTGTGAGGTTTAAACTTTTGAAGATGAGGCAAGTTATATGCGATTGACCTTAATTAACTTCAGGGAGGTTTGTGTATTTTTTTTTAATCATATGGTTAGAATTATTAAATGAATAACACAAATTATAATTATAATACTAGTTAAAGGTACACACTTACCCATGTGAATTTAAATCTCTCCTAATTACTCCCTCCGTTTAAAAATATAAAGCATTTTTAATCGAATCTCACCTCTCAATAAGTAGTTACCTACTTTCAAACTAACCCTATCTTTTTATATTTATCTCTATTAAACACTATATGATAAATATAAAGTCAATATCAATAGAGGTACTTTAAAAAAAAGGCAATAATTACACCTCAAAAGACTAAAAATGCCTTATATTTTAAACATCCAACTCCTCAAAAAATGTCTTAAATTTTTTAAACGAAGGAGTATATTTTATATAAAAAAGTGATTCTGTTTTGTAATTTCTTTTGACTAATGTATGCTTTATTCCAAAAAAAAAAAGTTCTTTCTATAATCTTTTCAAAAGAAAACGCATGGTTCAGAAAAATTCATTTAATTTTTCTTCAAAAAATAGAAAAACTTTATTGTCAACGTCAGCATTTTGTGAAGGTGAAAGTGCTTCATCATTTCACAGATAAAAGGTCACAAAATAACGTTGGTACATCCAGCTGGTTTACATGGTTGGTGAGTTGAAATTTCTTATTTTTTTTAAAGCCCCATAAAAATTAATGTACTTATCTTAAAAAAGTGATTATTAGAAAATTGAAATTCACGTTAACGATAGTTATTAACTTTAAATTAATAAAATTTTAATGATTACATTTGTCATGAAAATTTTAAGGACCAAATTTTAAAATTATTTATTCCTAATGACAAATACTCATAATTCTACTTATAATTAAATTTATGTTGTTTGAGTGGTAAATAATTGTAAATATTATCTTGCTTGTAAACTTTGGTCCAATGAATTGTACCGTTGTTGTCATTATGACTAAATAACTTACAAATTTGGTCACTATGTAGAAATTTACCCAATCTCCTTTTGCTTCAAATATGCTTGGATTTTAAAGGACAATTAATCTCCCCTCCCCCTAAAAACATCTATCATATTATATCATTGTTTCCAAAATACCCAAACTTGTTATTAAGAATAGTGTGATATTGTTATTATATCTTTTTTCATTCTTATAAGTCATCCATTTCCAATCATGCATCCTCATTAATACTTATTGTCCATTCCATCATTCCAAAACATGCCAATGTAAAACAATAATAATGACCAATGGAGTTAGATTTTATAAAAGAAGCTAATTCGTTATAACGTGACGAATTAAAGTTTGAATCTTCGTTGAAAGAGATGCTAACATTTAGTATCCGTCAGTACCTCAAATATGATTACCTTCAATAATAATATGATGTTTGTGGGTAAAAATAGTAATAACTAATAACCCATGTGAAGTACGTGGTTACTGTAAGTAATTTTGGGAAAATTGGTCATAAGGACCAAAATGTATTGGAATTCAAAAATCATCTATGAATCTTTAATAATTTATATTCTAAGGGTGGCGAGTGCAAAAAAAAAAAAAGAACAAAGAAAGAAGAAGAGTATTTTACTATTTTTGCTGATGAAATATACATTGTCTTTCTAAGGTCATGGTTGCTGCAACTTTTATATCAACAATCAGAAATTAATGATCAAATATTTGACTCTTTTCACTCATGGGGACACATTTTTACAATAATGAAAGACTTCTTTGAGGCTCTTCATGTGAAGCGAGCCATTATAATTCATCCTTTCCATCTTTCTTTCAATTAGCACTTTTCACATTGCATCACACACAACACGGTTTTGTTTTTGAGAAAATTCTTTAAAGTTTTGTGAAATATTTCCTCAGAATTAGATTATTGGCAGAATTTTATTAGAAGAGCATGGATGTGACATCATTATAAATAAAGCTCAAATTAATTTGAAATTTCACTGCAGGAATTTAAACATATATATACACGTACATTTTGAAAAATTATATGTGAATAACAACAAATAATGCTTTAGTCATGTAAACGCTCAGTTCTTTTCAATGATTGGCTCCAAATAATTTAATCAATAAAGGCTAACATCTAATATAAATGTCTAGTATTTTCTCAGTGCTTTGTTATTTTTCAATTACGATTATTTTATTATACAGTAGCTCTCTCGTGATAAAATGCAACTGATTTTTTTTTAATTCCATCATTCCGTATTTTGAAAATTGGAGGTATTACTAACAATGATCTCATAGATATTTCTAGAATATTTTTATATATTTATTAAATGTGATTGCATATACTAAAATAGTAGGACTCAAACTCCAGACTTAGAATAAATTGATTAAACAAATACAACTAATTTTGTTTCTCTCAAATACATCTATTGCAAATCTAAATCATTTATATCAAATTTTAACATTTCATAATTTATAATTTTAATAACTATTAAATTTAATATCTCGGTTCATATCTTCAATACAGTGAACATAAAAAAGATTATTTAACTAAGCCTTTTTATATTATAAAAATTAAAAGATTATTTATTAATAATTAGAGATGGCATACGTGTTGTTACATAGATGGGCCGTTCATTTTGCTATGGTCATTGGACTTTTTGAGCAAAGTATAACTTTTCAGTTTTCATCGAATTATGCATTTCTGCTTCACAGCCATTATTACCATGATAGCACTTTGTTATTTCTTAAAAAAAAAAATACTAATTTTAAATTTATGATTAATTTTGACATGTAACAAAAATATTTGGATATATTTTTACAAAATCATAATTTTACTTTATTTTTAATTTTTATTTTCAATTCTAGAACAAATCACATTAATTAATTTTATAAATCAATTATATATCATATAATATAATTAATATTATTTAAAATCAATCACATTTAATTTTTTTATAAATTAATTTTTTTATGAATATGCAAACACCCCCTAAGTCACTTTGAATAAATAAATCAAAATATTATTTTAAAACAAAGTTACCTTTATTCACAGCTTCCAAAAACTTTCTAAAAAGATATTACAACTTATGTTCTGCTAGCATGATTTTGCTTTTCTCCAATTCTTTTCCCACGTCCCCTTGCTTTTCTACTTCTGGTTTCAAGGGATCAAGGATCTTTCTTTATCCCTTGCACTCACCTTCTCTCATTTTTTTCTAAATCGCTTTTGAATCAAAACTTTTTAATGATTTTAATTTAATTTTGATAAAATTATTATTATTATTTTACATAAAAATATATAAATAACATATTATAATTTTAAATTGTTTAACTCAAAGTTTAATAATTTGAATTTATTTATATTATTTTATTTATATAATAAAGATATTTAGATACATTTTTAGAAAATCATAATTTTAATCTCTAAATTTTATTAATTATAATTGAAATTCAAACAGGAACTAAATAAAAAATGCACCTTATTAATCAAATCTAAAGTATGACTAGGCTTTTTAGTACTGAGACTTCCATGTGAAGCCTATCTCCAATATTATAAAGTAGGCTTTGCGAGTCTTTTCAGTAGTCTTCTTGTCGAGCTTCTTCGTGCTTTCCTTGGTGGTTTCTTATACTTGTTTCTTAGAAAATTCTCACAAGTTACCATGTACATTTGCAGCATATTGAATAAGGGAAAAGAAAACCGACAGTCGTTATAGAGTCGTCTCATTGCATCAATCTCTTACTTTTGATTTGAGTTGGAGCAATCAAAGCTCTTAAAAATGCCAACGACACCTTCCCTCTCACAACAATCCAACGAGTTTTGCTGATTCAACGTTGCTATGTCATTTGGGTTTAATTCTTCAGGTAATTTCTTCGGCTTTCTCACCCAATCCTCATTACATCTGTTATTTTAAATTCTGGAGCTTCAATATATGTTCTAGCAGAGACTGCAGAGTAATTTTTAGATTAATAAAGTAGAGTAATTTCCATATCTTCTGGTCTCACTACTCACACAGTTTTTTTTTTTTCCTTTTTAAGGTAAGTTAACTTTGGTTTCTTTTTTTATATTGGTAGGAAGCCACCATGGCTAGATTGGCAACAACATCTTCTTCCTTCCACTACCAATGGACTTGCGATGTCTTTATCAATTTTAGAGGTGAAGATACTCGTTATGGTTTTACAGGAAATTTGTATCATTCTCTAAGTCAAAAGGGAATTCGCACCTTCCTTGATGATGAGAAACTACGAAGAGGGGATGAAATTACCCCAGCAGTTCTCAAAGCAATTGAAAATTCTAGGATGGCCACTACTGTATTTTCTAAGAACTATGCTACCTCATCATTTTGTCTAGATGAGCTTGTTAAGATCTATCAGTGCATTAAGGGAAATGGTCGTTTGGTTTTGCCAATTTTTTATGATTTGGAGCCTTCAGAAGTGCGCCATCAAAAGGACAATTATGAGCGAGCACTATCTATGCATACAAAAAACCGCAAAGTTGATGAGGAGAAGATACAAAGTTGGAAACATGCATTGACTGAAGAATCTAACATTTCTGGCTTCCATTTTGATCCAAGGTAATTCATAACTTTTAAATTGTTTTTTCCCCTTACCTAGCTTAATAGGTTATAAGTAAATAAGCATAATTTTCTTGTTAATTTTTCAGGCATGGTTATGAATATCAGTTAATTGAAAGGATTGCGACCGAAATATCTAGTAAAATTGATAGGATTCCTTTATATGTTTCTAGATATCCTGTTGGATTAGAGTCTCGGGTTGTAAGTATAAAGTTTTTATTAGAAATTGGATCAAATGAAGAGGTCAACATGGTAGGAATTTGTGGAATAGGGGGAATAGGTAAAACAACAATAGCACGTGCGGTATATAATTCGGTTGCTGATAATTTTGATGGCATGTGCTTTCTTCATGACATCAAAGAAAAGTCAAGCAAGCTTGGCCTACAACAAATGCAAGAGACAATGATTTCCAAGATTATAGGAGTGGACGTGAAAATACAAGATGCTCATGAAGGAGTTGAAGTAATAAAGATAAGACTCAAACATAAGAAAATCCTTTTGATTCTTGATAATGTTGACAAACACGAGCATCTACAGAAATTAGCTGGTGATTGTGATTGGTTTAATGGTGGGAGTAGGATCATTATAACGACAAGGGATAAGCATTTACTTGTAAGACACGGGATTGAAATTATATATGACATGAAGGCTCTCAATGATGAAGAATCTCTCGAATTGTTAAATTGGAATGCTTTTAGAAATAACCAAGTTAATCCAAGTCACATGATGGTGTTAAATCAAGCAATAAAGTATGCACAAGGCCTTCCACTGGCCCTTGAAGTTATAGGCTCTAACATGTGCGGAAGGAATATAAATGAGTGGGAATCTGCTCATTTTAATTTTCATAAAGAATATTCTTTGACTATTCTGCAGAGTTCTTGAAATACAAGGATGTACACTTACAAAATTTACAGCAATGTACTTCATGCATATATTTCCATGCTTTCACACCCCGAGTAATTAAAGTGCTTAGTAGGTTATATAATTCAGTAATGAATGGATTTAAGCAAATTTACAAAGTGTAGGGAATAGTAAAAAGGATCATATAACACAAAAGCAATTAATACCAATTCAAAGGTCATGTATTTAAGAATTTAAATCACCATGCGTACATACATACATTCATTTGCTACGATACTAGAGAGATTTTTTTGGAGCAGAGGCTACTCTAGAATAACAATAGAAACTTATGAGATATCTAATAATATATTTGATGGTTTCTATTAAAAAAAAACTGTTAAATTCTTTTTCCATAGACAGTTGAACATGATAACTATCAAATAAACAGGAAGAATGACGTTCAAGCCCTCTCAAGGGATATTATCTTGTGAAAATATGGATTATTATTGTTAAAAGTTGAACCTTAACTTATATTTTTTGTTAGAGCTTTTTTAGAAATTTAACAAGTTAAGGTTCAATTTTTAATAACAACATATCTATGTTTTCCTTAAAGAGGGACTTAAATGTTATTCTCTCAAATAAATATGAATAATAATTTTAAAAATAAAAAATTGTTTGGCTGTGTTAATTTGAAAACAATTTTAAAATTAAAAACTTAACCGAGATAGTTACTAGCAGTTTATGGTGATGACTTATGATAATTATTGATCATGGTAATTGTAATTTTCATTAATAAAATGTAATGTATTTTGAAAATGAGAAAAATAAAATGAAAATAATTTTAAAATGTTTCTATTTTTTGTTTTCATGAGAACATTTTTGAAAACAATTAAATTTGAAACGCTTATCTAAACAAGTTTGTTTTTAAAAACAGAAACCAGACGATTACTTTACCTCTCCATGTTTATTATTTTCCTCTTGCTTTTGTTATCCAACCATTTAAACTTATAAATATTCATTTGAGCCAAAGAAACAGGTCATTTTCGACATTGAATATATAGCAATAATTGTTAGAAATAACTATTTATACTTCATTCGTTCATTTATTTACCAAAAAAAATTGTCTCATAATAGAGACATTGGGCCTGTTTGGTTTTTGTTTTTATTTTTTATTTTCAAAAACTGCTTTATAATATAATTTTTAAAATTAAAAAAAAAATTAGTTTGGTTATGTTATTTTAAAAGCAGTTTTAAAATGAAAAAAATGGCCATGGTTACAAGTAGTTAATGATGGTAATTTGTCATAGAAATTGGTCAAAAAGACTATAATTTCTAATAATCAAATATAATGGGCTTTGAAAAAAAGATAAATAAATTGAAAACAACTTGACAGTATTTCTATTTAAAAAAAATAAAAAACAAAAATCAGTTTTGAAAACAATTAGATTGAGAACACTTATCCAAATTTAAAATTTTTATTTTCAAAAATAAAAAAACAGTTTTTAAAATCTGAAAACAAACAAGCCCATTGTTGCTGAATTTTGTATGTTCACACATAATTTTAATATATGCATGATTTTATTTATTTAAAGTTCTCTTGATCATAATTCATAATGTCCAATTAGCAATGCCAAGACAAAATCATGTATGTGACTTAGGAAAATAATTATAGTTTGGAATATATCAAGAAATATTTCAGTTAAAACTAAATATGTATGTCACAACAGTTAAAAGAACATAGGCAAATTAACTGTCAAGAAAATTTTATTCTCATTCTCTATTGTAAAGCACTAATCGATGTAATTTGGAACAAAATAATTGTCTTTCAATAGGACAATTCGGTACAAGGATGAATCAGAAAGAACTAGCACTTGGCAAGAAACGAATGTTGATGGGGGATGACAATGTTGCATCAGTAAGCTCATATATTTTTTGTGTTATGTTAACACTTCACTTTGGACTTTCTTGTTAATTGAGTTTCAATTTATGACATTTTACTTGCAGAGTTCAGCTACCTGTAGATGCACAAAGAGGAAGAAATTGCTCAATCAATCATAATGAGAATAACACAATCACACCTGAAATCCAATTTGCCAATGCTGCTAGTGAAATAATTAATAATCAAGGTACAAATTCAACCCAATGGCTTCAATATTAAACTACATTTTTACCAATTTCTATATGAATACAACTTTTGATATATCACACATTTCCTTATGTTATAATTTTATCCTTTTTTCCCATTGTCAACTTTCTATTTACCATTTCATGCATTTCAAGTTCCACTGGCATCTTATGTAAAAGACTATAAAAGAGAATATAATAGCAGTAAAAACCTAGTTTACTTGTCCTAATCCTTCATGACTTTTAGGTACATGCTAATGCCATAGCCAACCAAGATAGGTTACATGTACTATTATAATTGGCCTACATAGTTGTATTCATTATTCAACTTAATAACTCAAAGGTGCTTCAAAACTCTATCCAAGCACAACAAATATACTGTTATGTGACAGCAAATGATATAAATAATGGATATACGTGTCTCTCCTTGAATTTTTCTATTGAAGCAATGTTTGACAATCTGAATGCAAATGATACTTCATTACCAGTGTTAGCATTTACAAAGCATGGTGGTGATGACACCAAGGTACATGCATATATGATATGGTAATATCAACAAGTATACTCAATAGTATACATGCAGATTTCTTAACAAGAATAATGTAACTATAACTGGTCACAATTTTGAAGAAAACAAGTGGCTCTCATTGCGTCCTTGCTGGGAGACACCATTGTCCGAGGGTCCAACTAGTCAACAAGGTAATGTTGGAACAAAATTAACATATGAGGCCACACATGTAAAAATAAAAAATGTACTGTGGCCATTATTATAATTTAGCCTAAATAAAGTGGTCTACTTGAAAAAGTTTTAAGGCTTAAGGAGGTGTAATTATTATGGAATTAATGTATAGAGACCAAAGTGATATTTATAATTTGTTGAAGGCCAAACCATAGATAACACAAACTTAAGTCTATAAATAGAGGTTGTGAACCTCAGATTGAGCATAACGAGAAACTAATTCTTTGACTCTTTCGAGAGAACCATAAGGAAGTTTGCAATGTTTATAATTTGGAAGATCACAGTACGCCAATCCATCAACATGTGGAATCTTGTGACTATGGATTTATCTGTTCAGGTATGCTTTCACATTCTATTCTATTCCTCTGAATTGATATGAGATTACATTCAAGTTTATAATTGGTTGCAATTGATTCTGCGGTTTGAATATGAACTCGATTGATCTGGAACAAACAATTCCAACAGGTAATAAACCTATAGATTTCATGGAACTATAAATATTTCACTATATTAATGTAAGTTGAACAAATGAAAGTTAAAACAAATTTATCTTAATTTGCGTTTGGATGTCAGAATGCCAACAACAACAAAATATGACTCTCATCAATGGGGACGAAATCTCAGGAGGCTCAGAAGATGATAGAAAAGCTAAAGGAAAGGAGATTGTAGTCTACAATGATAGCATAAATGAGAAATGACATCGCCAATTTATCACAGGTATTTTTATAATTAGAAAAAAAAATATAATAATGAAGCATTTCCCTTAATGGATATGTGCAATTTTTAATTAACATAATAATTATTTTTGCAAATCTTGGATACAAGAACCAAACTCTGCACCAATTGAACTTTTCCTGATGATTCATTTGGATAAATTATTAAATTTTGTGGGTGTGTGAAAGATAGTTTAAATAAGTTCAATTTCAGGGTCATACTAGGGTCAAATAATATGTAAGAAACGTGTGTGTGTGTGTGATATTACTCTATTGATGCATATTCACTAATATAATCTCCTTGACTCACCCCTTCATTTTCATTTCTGATGTGCAGCTAGCTATGAGATATTCACTCTACATCTAGACTCTGCCTTCATGTCAGTGAGGCAAGCAATTTTGAAGAATCATGTTGATAATAGATGGACAAGTTTGTAATCGTTGGGGAAAAAACTGTTTGCCTTTAATTTTAAATACTTTTTTATGTTTGAAGTAGCTAACCTAGCTGGAATAGTTTCTAGATGGAGAACTATATTAATATTGCTATGATTGTTGTATGGTTCGAATAAATTTGAAACTGTGGGAAATTATCCATTTCTTAGGAGGACTATCAAACTCTTTGGTCAATGGCTATAACTACTATTTTTAAAATCATTAAAAAAAAGTTGAATGCCTTCAAGGCCATTCTAATCCTTCAACTTGTACAGTTGCAACACCCTTCCAAGGTTTCCAATAGGTTGAACCACTACAACAAAAAAAGCTTTTTGGAGCGTTTCGTTTTATACTTTTGGAGCATTTTGTAAACGCTCCAAAAGCAGGAGCTCCTGTATATACGAGAGCGTTTTTCAAATGCTTCTGTAGGGAAGACTTATGGGAGCATTCCAAGTAGGAAAAGCTCCTATAGGTACCCTGCGGGAGCTTTTCTATTTTATAAAAACTCCCATAGGCTGACCATATGGGAGCTTTTATGCCCATAAATGCTCTCATATAAATCCCTATTGGAGCTTTTCTTTTCAACAATGCTGTCGTATGGGATCGGATCCCTATCAGAGCTTTTCTTCTAGGGAATGTTCCCATAGGTTTATTTTAAAAAAAAATATTGAATTCATTTTTTATTCTCTTCATGCATTGGACATCATGACTAATATAAAAAAAATTATTTATATAATTAATATAAATATACAAGCAATTTCACTAGTTCAACTAACTAATCTCCAATACTATAATATACATAATATTATAATGTAGATTGCAACCTAAGAAATTAAAAACATTTGCAATACTCTCATGCTTACATGGTACAAATAAATACATCTAACACTATTCTTACTTAGTTGCAAAGTACTCGTTCACATTCTATCAGCAAAATATAAAGAAAAATAATTTAGTTAAACCATAAATATCATATTAATTATGAATAAAACACATCATTCAAAGTCCATACCTCTCTGTTCACGTCCCATTGAGATAAATTTTTTCAAAAAAATGTATAACATTAGGCATGTTACTTTGAGCCTGTATTTTTTTCTCAAAGATGCAAAAGACATCCTTTTTGTGAAGGCTAGGACTAAATTCAGATTCACTTATCTCATCCAACAAGCTGGAGCATAACATCAGCTTTTTCACATCTCCATCTTTAGATTGCTAGCTTCAATTACGCCTGCACGTATATACCATGACAAGACATTCAGAAACAAGTCTATGTTAAGCAAGTCTAAGATCAATTTTCTATTCCAGAAGCTTAATCCTAACCCCATGATTATGATGTATTGAAAAATTATTAATTAATGTGATATTCATATGCTAAGTATATCTTTTGTCATGTTATGCAAAAACACCAAGAAGCATTAAATACTGCGTGCATTGGGTCAAAAAGTCTACACCACCTTTACTTGCTATTTCTATGAGAGAAAGAAGTGGGAAAGGAAAATAAGAGTCAGAAAGATTAAAAAAAGGTCTCACAATTCATATGCACTCATCAATATCAGTGGAGGGCTCTCCGCTCTTAGTCTCATGTCTCTGTCACAACATTAAAAAATCCTTCCTACTTTTTATTTACTTTCAAGTTCTAAGATATCAGGTTATAGAGGGGAAAAAGTGATTTGACAGTACATGAATTTTGTAGCTACTTGTGAATGGTTGAGAAGGAAAGGACGTCAGGGCTGTTCTGGCTTGATCAAAAGCCACATTGTACAGGTTCTGCAAATCAGTTTTTCACAATGAAAATGGAAGAATTTGCTGCAATCCATACAAATTCAATGAGAATAGGTTGAAAATGTATAGGCTTTTCTTGAATAAAGCAATCTTCATTATTCAAGAAAAGCCTACGCAATGCAACAAATTCAATGTCAAGATCAGAGGAGTCAAGGCAAGGGGACGTTGTCATCATTTCATCTTCTTAAAAATAAACCTATTTTTGGAGCAGTAGACCTTGAGGTCATTAGCTTCTCGACCATTCGAAACATCTCTAGACATTCTCAACTGTTCAGGAACAATGAGAGTTCCACTCTTATCATGGTAAGATTCATAGATAAAGTCTACAATAGTGTCCTGCAATAAGCTATTCAGTACAAGATTATGAACCAGTTTTGTAAATCTCTGAGATAAATAAGATGAAAGATTTTATCTTGATAGTTTATTGTTTGTCCCGCAACTATAAGAGAAAAAGAAAAATAGCAATAAACTAAAATTAAATAAATATACCAGTGGTTTAGAAGCATTAAGCTAGTGGTATATATGTTCATTTTGAAACCATGTCAATTGTCTTTTGGCGAAATTCCTGCATGAAAGTGTACCCAATAAATTTAATTGAAATGAGCACCTCATGAATAGCCAACAACGCTAAAGGGGAAGAAGTGGTCACTTGAATATAGCAATGCAAGAGTAACTACACACAAGGGCATTTTTCACAAACAAAATGTGAAAACAAAAGCTTTCTGGTGACTACACCTAAGTAGGAAAACTCAACTATAGAAGCAACATGATCCAACAACATTTGTTCAAAAAGTTCAATGTTTCATCATTTCCTGCCATTACAGAAAAGGGCATATTTTAAGCAGAAAATCACTCTTACATCTACATGGTCTTAACCCTCTCTATTCATAGAAATTAAAATGAAGAACATCGTCCACCTTTAATCAGATGAAGCCACTAAGTTTTGATAAAGCAATGTTCCATATAAAATCCCATGTCAAAATCTATTTACTATCAATTGAGAACTCGGTATCCATCAATGAGCATGAAAGGCATATCTCATGATCAACAGGTCCTTTCTCACAAAAAAAAAAAAAACGGCTCATTTACGAAAGTAACACAGCATGTACACATTTTTAAGCTTGGAAGCAAGCAAGAAAATAAATTTTGTCTAACGAAATTTCATGGGAAACTAGCCAATGAATGTTCTAGGAACTCAGTCAATAAAAAAAGAATGTTCTAGGAAACAAAGTTAAAAAATGAACCGAGATCCAGAATAATGAGTCACATGCCCTTTGGATCTGTGTAGTGTCTTTGCTTGTAGCTTCAAGCTAACGGAAAATGATGAAGTGGGTAATGTCTAACCTCTACTTGTCATTGAAGAGATTGAACATAATTGATGATTTCATTGAGCATGCCTGCTTTTCCTGTGATTTTGTTACAATCTGGTACTAAGCCTTGCAAGTATTTCATTCTCTCTCTAATCTTTTCCCTTCTAACCTACAAGACGAAACAGAGCTTGCATTGTTTAATTACCGGAAGAAAAGCCGACAAAGAAAAGGATCGGTCATTTTCTGGTTCTTACTCTTTCTGCTAAGCTATGGCTATAAATTTTTTTCTTACATTTTTCTTTTGCTCTTTCAACCAATCCTTAGGTCCTTACAAATTCTGAGGGCCAAGGCAAGTAGAAGAGAAGACAAAAAGAGCACGGTAACTAAATCTGAACCTGAAGAAATGGTGAATAGATGACCGAATTTGGAAGAAGAGCTACATGACAGGTGTTCTAAGAGCTAGGGAAGAAGAGCTTTACCAGAAATGGCATCAGAGTCCAGCTACAGCAGAACACGGTGGCGACACGATGGCAAGTCTTCGACGAGCAGCAGCAACATCGAGCTAAAGGAAAACGACCGGTGGCGAGCTTAGTGCAGTAGATCTGGTTTGGGTCGCAGATCTAGTTTGGGGGGAGGCATCGAGCTTGAGCAGCAAAGGACGAGAAGAACAGCGAGGAAATTACTGAAGTGATGTTCAATAAGGGTTTCGAGTAGAGTGGGCACTGGGGTAAAAACTGAAGCATCAAAATGTTAAAAAAAATCTGAAATTAAAAAACATATTGGGCTTATGGGAGCGTTCAAACTAAAAAAAGCTCCCATAAGCTTTGATCTACAACTACAAGTGTATTTTTTATCCAAAAAACTCTTATAGACTCTTTTTGAAAAAATAAATTGTAAAATTACACCTTCGTGAGCTTTTCAGCCTGTAAATGCTCTCGAAGGCAATAGTCTATTAGAACTTTTCTATTTAAAAATGCTCCAATATATTCTGCCTCATATTTTAAGAACGTTTTATCTTATAAATACTTTCGTATGGGCACTCTCATAACCTATTTTTATAGTAGTGAATACATTGGCAATTCTTTTTAGAGATTATTTTTTGCTCTTCTTTTTTAATAGAATTTACTGAAAAATATTTTCCTGCTTGCTTGATAAGTGATGAATTTTGCATCGGTTTATATCATTATCATGTTTAATGGTACATTTATATTGAACAAAATATAATTAAATGAAGTTTATTTTCAAATTAATTTACACTAGAAAATAAAGAAAACAAGATGATTCACAAACTTCAAGAATAAATTAGAACCTAAAATTATTTATTCCGCTTACATTTCATTACTCCAAAATTACCTCCTCTCATAAATGCTTTTAATGAAGATAAGTGCTAATCTAAGATTCTAAAAATATTTAAACAAGCTCTCTCAAAATCGTAAACAAGTGTTTAGTTAAATTAATTGCCCGATCTCTTATTGCAATTAAGAAAACCTAATTTTAAACATCAACCCTAATGTGGCTATGCAAGGTTAGCAAATATATCTCTATTTTATTAGCAAAACTATCCATTCAACATACAAATATTAAATTCTTATATTATTTTACCCAAGTTCTATACTCGACCTAATCCTCTCAAGCATCAATCAATTCAACCTAATATCTAAATGGTGGCTAAATGCTTATAAGCATCAATAAAGGAGTAAAATAAATACATATATCATTAATCACAAAAAGAGAGGAGGAATTTAGTATTAATCCATACAAGGGTTTAAAATAATCCTAAATCAAAGAGTTTAACTAATCATAACTATCAAAAAGCTACAAATATAGAAAATATTCACAGCCATATTAGATTACAAGAAGAGAAATGGAGAAGAAATAAAGGAATTGAAGAAATGGAGTTTCAAATATCTTTAAAGCTTTAACCCTTGAACTTAGCTCATCCAAAGCTTAAACCCTAGCACAACTAAGCTCCTAAGGTGTCTTTAAGTGTGTAAAATGCATTTTGGGTTGAGCTCTCAATCTACATGCATCCTACCCAAGCATTTTCAAATAAATAAAATGGAGCATTTTACTTATAGAGGCAAAAGTCACGAACGAAAGTCACGACTTTAAGATGACTTTGACAATTTTGCACTATTTTTACTGTTAATAAAACTTAGTCTTTATGCAATTGATTTCTTCGTCCAAAAGCCTTCCAAAAGCATCAACAAATATCCAAACATCTAATTAAACTTTAAACCAAAATAACATAAACTTAGTTCCAAAGTTTCGAATTAAAGCCAAGTATACAAACCCAAAATAAGATATACATTTTCTTAATTTAAATAATCAAAATATATACAAATGAGATAAAATATATTAAAATTTAAGAAAAATGTGATGAAATACCACAAAATTCTAGAGATTAACAAGTTTCAACTTTCAAGGACAATAAATTGTTTAGTTTTTTTCTCTTTTTTGCAAGAGGTCTTATATGTTATTCTCTATTTTTTTAACAATGGTATATATTTAACCCTTCCATATAGAATCATGATGTGATTCTATTATTACAATGGAACTTGATCCTTTAAGGAGAACAAAATATGATTAATGTTTTAACAAAGAAATATAAAAAAAATTACATGCAAAATTTAAAGAATTTACTTGGAAAAGTAGCATGAAAAGAGAAGCAGAAGCAATGATTGTGGCTCCTTGAGTTTGAGGCAATGGTGATGACAACTCTACTAGCTTCAACTTTGGATTTGGAGTGGAAGGAGATCATGGCACAAGGGAGAGGGAGAAGAGTCACTAGTAGGGCAAAGTCAATCCTTTAGCTTCAATCTTCAACTTCATATTGTAATGTTGGTGATGAGAGTGTTGATGAGTGACAATAAGAGGAGAATGGATTGGAGAGGTTGAGCTTGAGAGTTAGAGACGAGACCAGTGACACGAGTGGTGAATTTGAGTTTAGCGAGAGGTCAAGTGAAAACTCATTATGACAAAATAAGCTAAATATGATATCATATATTTGACAGTTATAAGTTAAAAATGACAAATAAAAAAGGCGCTAAATACTTGACTGTTGTTTCAAAACAGACTGTCAAGTATTTAGTATATATTTGATAGTTATAGGGGCAACTATGAACACTGTATTTTGTTCGAGTCCTAATAAGTAAATAAGATAATATCCATAGTAAAATAAATAAAAAATGAAAATAATAAGAATAAAAAATAATATTTTACAACAAGAATATATATATATATAAGTTGGGTACAAAGATAAAAAACATATATTCAAACTAGATCATAATATAATAATTGAAATAATTAGAATATAATATAATATGATATTATAATTTGAAGATTTCAAGATAACCTAATATCTAATATTAAGATTAGAAGATTTCAAAACAATATAATAATCAGGATATAATAATAGGAAAGATAACAATTAATATCCAATATCTAAATAATAGTAATAATAATAATAATATATAAAATACTAATATTGATCACAATAGGATTGAAATATGAGGAAAACCCTAGATGAATGGGTCTATATAAAAGAAAATAAAGATAAAGCATAAGAGAGTGAGAGAGAAACTCAACGAAGGAAATAGGAAATAATAAAAATTCAAGTCAACTGAAATTCATAGAGGTAAGCTTACCTTTCATTAAGCCCTAACACTTTAAGAATTTAAACCTTTTCTTACAAGCTTGATTTTAATCTCTGCTAACTACCATATATGTTGCAATTCTTTTGTCTCCTTATGATAGCATGATGTAGACTTGTTATAATCCCTATATATTTCTTTTCTTTTTCCCATCTCATCTTGAATCCTATTCCTTTGTCTTCATGTGTGTGATCCCATAACTAGAGAAAACTATTCACTCTCTTAGTGAATAAGGCATGGGCATCTACATGTATTCAATTTTATTTCATCAATAATTTTTTATTAATATTTTGATAGCCTCCCAAATTTATATCCATTTGATGCATAGCAATAAATTATTGCATGTACATAGTTTTAAAATTATCAGTTGTGTGAGACTTTCGAGTCCCTGCAGATTTATAAATTAAATAATTTATTCTACGCAGCGATAAATTATCACGAGTACATTTTAAAAACATTTTATCCTTAAGTAAAAAAATATTTTCCTAAAAAATAAATAAAATAAAATAAAATAGTTTTTTGAAAGGTGAATGTATGAAGCTTTTTTAAATCTTATTAAAATATTTTTCACAAAATCATCCCTGAAGATTTTGTCACAAATAAAGAAATAAAATATTTTTCATAAATAAAAAACTAAAAACCAACATTAAAAATTATTTTATAACAAAGTAATATTTTTCCTAAAAATCTCAACCAAGAGACATACATTTTTTCCCCAAACTACGTGGGCTTTGATCTCTCAAAAGGATACGTAAGCTTTAGGGTTTTATCTTAGGTCAAGTCCAACTTATAAATATATAAAGTTTTTCCTTTTTAATTTTCTAATTTTTTATCTTATTTTTAAGGATAATTAATATTTTTAAGGCCATTTAAATTTATATAGTTAACTTAAGATAACCATTCACATGAATAGGTGTTGTGGGGTGCCTAACACCTTCCCTACATACAATCAACTCCCTTACCCTTTTCGTTATACGTAGGTCATGCGTTAAAAGGGTTTCCAAAATTACCTGTAAAATTTTGGTGGTGACTCATAAAATATTTATATTTTTATTCAATTTTCCTTCTTGAAAATTCCAGATCGAGCACGACAGTTTGGCGACTCCACTGAGGACTTACATCAAAGAGTCAAGCCTATTCAAGTTAACTGTGTGAATTTATTTGGCCTTTTTTTATTTTAATTATCCTTTTTTAATTTTTTTATTTAAAGTTTTTTTGTATTCTTTATTCTCTTGATTAGATGATTTAACTTTCATGATATCTTGTAGTTTCTTGGTTAACATATTTATATGTTCTCCACACACACTGAGCATTCACACATCTAACCTCACACACATGTTGGGCCTTATACTTGAGTCTAAAAGTACCCTAAGTTAGTAGAAGTTAGTAGCGATTTTCCTAAGGGACTTTAAAGTCCCTTGAAGTCATCGTGAATACTTTAACTAAGTCAATATCTATTTAACAAACTTAATCTTTGAAGGGTTATTAAACTCTCATAGGGTTAAATTAGTTAAGTAAATTTTCCATCTCTCTGGTGGAAGCGGCTTAAAGACCTTGTTTAGGATATATTAGATTCACCCTAAGAATTTTACACATTACATGAATCTAGTAGCCCCCATGAGAGCAAATATATGATATCGTATCTTTGGACATGCCTCCTATAAGGCACAAAGGAGAATATACTTTTCTTCGTGCATTATTTTTTTTACATTAAAATTCCTAGATTAGGAGTAACAAACTGTAAACCACAATGGCCTTTTTAATATCATTAGACCTAAAATGTGCCACAATGAAGGTATTTAGACTAGTACCTTCCCTTCCCTCAAGTTGAAGGGTTCTTAACCCTATTGGACTATCATATTATATAAAGTACACCAAATCTTTTTATGCACGTTATTAATATTTTTATATATCACCAAAATAATTAATAATAAGCTTGGACTGGTTAACATAGATTTTTTTTATCCCTAATCATGAAGTGGCCTAGTCACCCAAGATTTATGGTTTGATTCCATTCCTACGAGATACAATAAGGATCCGTGGGGAGGGAAATACTTTAAAAAAAAAGG